GCTTGAACTCTACATCCAAGCTCCAAGACCCTCTGCCCTGAGCCCTGTGGCCTCGTATTCCAGCATGCGCTGAAGAGGTAGCCAGCCTTTACCTCTTGCTGTCAACTTGGCGGTTGGGCTTAGAACAGACTCTTTAGGGGAGTTTGGGTTCATCAGGTTCTTTACAGGTTTCTGGAAAATTCGGGGGCTGCAGGGTCTCGGACGTGGACGACGACGATGCTTGAGGCACGAGTACTGGCGTTCTCATTAACGGTGACGGTGTCCTCGCAGCAGCAGCAGCAGCAGCAGCAGCAGGAGCAGGAGGCGGAGCAGGAGCAGGAGCAGGAAAAACAGCAGAAGTAGTAGGAGAAGGACTCGGACCAGGACCACGACCAGGACTAGGGCCAGGGCTGGGCTAGGGCTAGGGCTAGGAGTAGGACTAGGACGAGGAGTAGGAGTAGTATGAGTAGGGGTAGGACTGGAGGAGGAGAAGTAGTAGGAGGAGCAGGAGTAGGAATAGAATAGGAGGAGGAGGAGGAGGAGAAGCAGTAGCAGAAATAATAATAGTGACAGTGGTAGTCGTCGTCGTGTAGTGGTACTAGAGCAGCAGCAGTAGCAGCAGCAGCAGAAGCAGCAGCACCTCTGAACCAGGAGTAGATGCGTTTGTTTATGGCTTGGGTTTTATGATATACTTGGAGGTTCATGGGACTTAGTATCTAAGGTTATAAATAAGGTAGCTATACTTATAATTACTTATAACCCCAGTGAAGGTACTTATAACTGTACTTACGAAGTCCCATGAACCTCCAAGTAGGGTCGATCCACTATCTCAAGTCGGGGACCCCATGGGTCGAAAGACTTGAAGAGCTCTGCGGCCTGGCAGGGGGGTTTTCAGATTTGGGAGCTGGGTCTAGGGTTTTTCTGGGCTTCGAAAGTCTAAGTCCAGGCTTAGGGTTCGGGATGTGGAGATTAGGCTTAGGATGTGTACGGCTTGGAGAGATTAAGTGTTAGGATCTGAAGCTTCGGCTGGGTTGGGGGTGCAGGCATAAAAAAAACATTGCACACTTCAAGCGCACTTCGCCGATGTGCTTAAGACTTGTTGATGTATCCTGTTGTGTGCTTGTTCTGCTGGAGAACCCACCCCGTGTTGTGTCTCTGTGTTCACGGATACACCCATAAACAAACGTGACACGTGTATGCTCACATATCATGTGTGTGCACATACATGTGCATGTGTGCTGCATATGTGCATATATAGATACATATGCATACACATACAGAGAGAGAGAGAGAGAGAGAGAGAGAGAGAGAGAGAGAGAGAGAGAGAGAGAGAGAGAGAGAGAGAGAAAGAGAGAGAGAGAGAGAGAGCGAGAGCACTACAAGGGGAAAGCAAAGCTTAACAAGAGAGCTCTCAAGCGGTAGACGTCGCATTCAACGACTTGTGCGATGTGGCTCCTCCTCCGTATAAGCGATGCCGTAGTTTTGCTACTGTCAAGGTTGGTGTTGCTGCTGATGATGATGTTGATGTCGCTACCTAGTCACGCTGCTGTTGCTGATGCCCCTGCTGCTGCTGCTGCTGCAGGTATGACGACGACAACTACTACTGTTGTTGCTTTATTGTGCAGAGCCCAGCAATGTGTGGCTTTGACGCTTCTGTCTTCAATGACCATTCTCTGGTCTAACTAAGACATTTCGCGAGCGGTTACGACTCTAGAAAAGCTTGAAAGGCAAGGAAAAGCCATGTGAAAACTTCCAGGAATTAAGCCGAAACACAGCGATCAATGCGCAGAAACACTGCATCGCCATGCCCACCTCGGCTTCGGAAAAGCAGTAGCCCTCCTGTGTCAGCAAACACCATAAAACATTACTACAATCACCACCGTCACCACCACCACCAGCACCATCACGACACGACGCCCAAAGAAACGACGACTTCGACTGCTACTACTGCTTCGGCTACTGCTGCTGCTGCTGCTGCTGCTGCTGCTGCTACGATTCCTCCTCCTGCTCCTCGTCCTCCTCCTGTGCTACTGCTACTCCTACTCCTACTCCTACTGCTGCTCTGACGACCACTGCTACTACTTCTACTACTCCTACTACTCCTGCAGCTGCTGCTGCTATTGCCGGTCCTTGTGTTTCTGCTACTGCAGTGCCGCTCCTGATCTGCCGTTGCTGCGGTTGCTGCTAGCGTGACTGCTACTGCTGCAACAGCCACTCTTGGCATTGCTAGTATAACTAGAACGTTTGGTGTAGCAAGTCTGGTGCAAGCGGCTTCCATGACAAGACTCACAATAATTCCCATCATACTTGTACCACTGCGAGCTCACAGTGTACCGGCAATCCTTTCAAGGGGTTTCCGGTTCCGGCTCCTTGATCAGGGATCGGACAAAGTCGGCCTCACTGACGAAACCTGCTCCATAAGAGGCAAGAGCTTTCAGCCTTGTCTTGTGCTCTTCGGTGTTGGGGATTTGTGGGATTGGTTTCGGCTCGCGGGCTTCACATTGGGATTCAGTTCCCTGATCTGGTAGGAACCCTTGGGCTTAGGGGGTGGGGTATCTGGTTTCGGGTTTAGGTGGTTTCGGCCTGAGTTCACCAAACCTCAAACTTCACACTGGTGTTCGGGGTTGCTGCTGACATCTGGGAACGGAACGGCGATCAGCGTCGAAATCGGTAAGGATTCGGGTCACGTTTCGGCTTCGGGTTGTGGGATTTCCGGTTGATGGCAGGGGCGAAAAGCAACGTGCTGGACTCCATAAGCAACACCCAGTCAACAACCCTTGAAATCCAAAAACGCAAATCCCAAAAGCGAGACCCTTCTAGAAGCAACTATGAACCCCAAAGACAGTGCAAATTCATGTTGTGCATTAGTACAGTACATGTATATGTATATGTATACATACATACGTACATACATACATACATATATATATATAGAGAGAGAGAGATATACAGAAGAGGAGGCTGTGGGGCCTGCGTTTTGGCAACCCATTATTTTCTGTGGTTTTCTCGAGATATATACACACACATATAGATACATATACATATATATATATATATATATATCGACACATATACATATAGAAGATATTTCCCATCCACCCATCCATCCATGCATCCATGCAGCCATCCAGCCATCCATCCAGCCATCCAGCCAGCCATCCAGCCATCCAACCATCCAGCCATCCAGCCATCCAGCCATCAATCCATCCACACATCCATCCATGCAGCCATGCCTCCATGCATGCGTGCTGGTACTGATACCAATGCTGATGCTACCACCACTACTACTACTACTACTACTACTACTACTACTACTACTACTACTACTACTACTTCTGCTACTACTAGTACTACTGCTACAACAACAACAACTACTACTACTACTACTACTACTAAGACTCACTGCCCACTTTTGTTCCTGCGGAGGCTAGAGTTGTTTAGCGAAACTCGGGAACTGGAGACCGAGGTTAAAAGTCTTACAAGTCTAGGCGCCTAGGTTTACAAGTCACGGGCCCTAGGCGCCCTCGGTCTTTTGAAGGTTAGGGCCAGGAAGTATCCCTGAGCTCTGCTGTAGCTAAGAAAAATTTTTCTCAACCTCAAATAACTTTACGAAGTAAGAGCTTTGGGACACGACCTAACCCCTATCCGAAGGAAAGAAAAAGCGAAGCCCAGAGAACGCCGTCAGTGGAAAGCTCGAAAGGCAGAACGCGACGCCATCCTGGGCTGGGCGGGAGGGACCCGAAGTTGCGACTCAATCAAAAGGTGGGGTTCGTCTTAAATTACGGGGGCGAATGGTCTAAGACTCACTGCCCACTTTTGTTCCTGCGGAGGCTAGAGTTGTTTAGCGAAACTCGGGAACTGGAGACCGAGGTTAAAAGTCTTACAAGTCTAGGCGCCTAGGTTTACAAGTCACGGGCCCTAGGCGCCCTCGGTCTTTTGAAGGTTAGGGCCAGGAAGTATCCCTGAGCTCTGCTGTAGCTAAGAAAAATTTTTCTCAACCTCAAATAACTTTACGAAGTAAGAGCTTTGGGACACGACCTAACCCTATCCACGTCCCCCCCGAGTCGCCTCGCGATCAAGTCGCAACTGTTTGTGGTACCACTGAAAGGGCAAAGCCAGGGGCTTGGAAGCAAGATTGAACTTCATCAGGGCAAGCGAAGCCATGGCATCATTTAAATAGATGCGAGCTGTACGGTCAGAGCTCCACCTGCCTAGCTGTCTGACCGCGTCGAAGGACGGGTTCTTTTGAAAGTACATGGTAGCCCCGCCCCGGCGCAGACTGTAAGGGCGGAAACCCCATTGGTCAAGCTTGAGACGTTCAAGCATTTCTTGGAAATGTTTCCGGAAAAGATAGGGTGAGAACGGGATGAGAAAAGTAGATGGAGAAACCTGTCGTTTCCATCGTGCTAAAGAGCGGCAAACGTGGCCCACACGGAGAGTCACAGAATCGTCTGTTCCGGTCCTCTGGGAAGTCTTTGTGAGGCCAAGGTTCAAGACAGCGAAGTCTTGCTGTGCGCTAATCTGCACATGGGAGGCTTGAAGGGAAAGGAGCTCTCCTGTACGCAACAGAGCATAAAAGGCAACTTCAACTCCAAGCGACATGTCCGGTTGCTGACGCAAAGAGAAGGCTCCAGACAGAGCCTGAAGTAACTCCTCTGGTAAAGGAGCTGCCCTGGTAGGCATTTCGTTCTTTTGCCAGGCCTTGACTAGCCTCCAAGAGAGAGCCAGACAGCCCCTCAGACTAGGCCTCAAATCCTGGAGCCCGGACAGCCCGTCGGTGACGGAGGATATGCTTTCCCCTTCCTCCCACAAAAACTCTATATACTCAGAAAACAAGGAGTCCAGAGCCGAAGGCTCATCGGGGACATGCCGCCGTTGCAGCTTGGCGAAAAGGTAGAACTGGCGAAGTGCTGAATCATACCGTGCGCGGGTCTTTGGCTTGACTGTGAGAGACCTGAGAGGCCCAAGAGCTTTTCGGCTTGCTTTACGATCCTGCTTCGTCCGACCTTGAACAAGCGTCTTCACTTTGCCCATTTCTTGCGGACGCGGGCCCTGCGACTGGGCCGATCAGCTGGGTTGGAGTTGGTCGAAACGTATGCAGGGATCAAATGCAAGCCGGTTGCCAAGACAAGAGAAGAAAGGCGGTACATCAGCGTCTGTATCTTCAAAGAGGAGCTTCGCCCACGATTCAAAACGTGCAAACAGACCATGGAGTCGGTCAGGTGTAAAAAGCGCACTCGTAACTGTTTTCGGCGTAGGACACGCCACCGGATGGTTGTGTAGATTGCACGAAGTTCCAGCCGGTTTATGTGGTCCTCGCAAGGGCTCCATTTCCAGCCGCATATTTCCTTCCAGCTCCAAAGGGAGGCCGGAATAGAATTGCGAAACTTCTGGTAGGAACGAGCGCTGGCACCAACTGAAACTAAAAAGTCTTCGCCTTTACTGGAAACTTGGGTGAGAAGCTTGCGGACCAAGGTTTCCTCGCCGGCGCTGGCCACTTTGGTTTGATGAAGCGCCCTCCAAGAGAGGAGAGCGACTCCATGCTTGACCGACTGGCCTGCCAGGACCTTGAGTAGCTCTTTCAGGCTGGAGACCAAGCAAAGCCCGAGAGGCGCAAGGAGTTGCAGAAAGAAAAAGGCCAAAACAGGAACACTGGAGGTGCTTCCCAAAAGAGAGAGGCGAGTATCTTCATGGTGGGTCGCGGATCTCTTCGTCTCAGTCTTGTTGAGACAGTTGTAAGTGAAATCCACTGGGAAGCCCAGCATGCGCTCGCGTTCACGCGCATTTGGAGGTCTGGCTTCATCTTTCCGCCACAAAACGTGGCGATCCAGATACTGGAAAGGAGGGAAACGGTAGCGATCGGATGCCCAGCGATCCTTCACCACCTGAGTGCAACGATGAATGCCAGCTGCGGTGGAGCTGCCTGTAGTTGAAGGCTGTGGAACAGTGAAAGCCGGGAGGCGGGTGGAATCGGAATGGAGTCTCCAGCCTTTCTCCAAGAATTGCAGGGGCTCCACAGAGCATTCGAAACGAATCTCCCCGTAAGCAGAAAGTCCAGAGGAGGTTGGAGGGTGCAGGACAACACCTTCTTCGGACTGAAGCCCCCAATCAAACCAGTAAAGCCTCTCGCGACGGCATAAGGAGAGACCACTGGCACAAACTCGGTAAGGAAGAACTTGACTAGAACGCGTATGTGTCTGACGATCGAAATCCTCCATGGTGAAAAAGGACTCGTGGATGAAGTGCACGGGGCACCAACTGAAGGATGACCTCAACATTGAGATCACCGTCTGAACTGATCCATGTAGGGGGCTCTTAGACTCCGTGTCCTCGGAGTTCACCGCTTTGCAATAAGGGGGGCTAGCACCAACCAAAACTAGTTTGGCTGATGAAGCCTGCGCCGCCCATGTGTTGCAGCAGTCTTGGTCAATCGAGGCCACGTCGTCATGGTGGATAACATCCGGGAAATGAGTCTCCACAACCCTGCGGCAAGTGGGGTCAATCTCAGCCGAAACGTGTAACACCACTCGCGTTCGAATGGCCTCTAGGGCAACCCTCATAGCAGAGATTCCGTCGAAGAGTCCAATACACACCACCCCACCGTCAGGAACATCAATGGAAGAATCGCCACGAAAATCTGCCGAGGCAACTGCATCGCCTAACGATGTAATTCCAGAGCTGGCGCATATACCTCCTCCGAGATTTGACGCATCGCTCGCCGTCACAACCGTACTCACGGAGGTCCTGAAATCCATATGGGCTAGGGGGAGTAACCCAAGGAAGACAAGGAGCTCTGACATGACACCCGTGGGGATCTTCAACACTGTGTCGGAGGTGAGGTCAAAGCTGTGAATGAACTTCCACACATAGTTGAGGCAACTCATGAGAGGACGCCGAAACATAGCAAAGTAGACGAGACCACCACAGATCACCTGCATCTGCTTTTGGGTTGCTTTGCCAACTCGCAATAACGATAAGGTTGCCCCAACATACTTTTGTAATTTGTCGCTTTTGGGTCTGGCCATACCCGCACAACCATCAACCTCTGCACCCTGGATTTCCGCAAAGGTGGCGCGCCTCACAGATTTCTTTGAGTTCAAAGGAATCCCCCAGCGGAAATACTCTTCAAGAATGGGCTCCAAGTCTGGTGAGATACTCCCCTTGATGATGGATGCCGCCTCGGGGTTTTCCTTCTCCAAGAGGTCGAAGTTGTCGAGATAAACACGCCATAAAGGATTCGCCAGAGATGCTGGTCTATCCTTTCGAACCTCGGCGCTGCCAACACACCGAGTTGGACCCCCTTGAGCTCGGGATATGAGATTGCGGTGGAGGTGTTGCGCGATTCCCACCGAATTGAGGTAACCCATGGGCAACACCTTTGAGCACAGATAGCAGGGTTCATCGACATGTGGCGGGACCAGCTCCGCCGGAACCGGACGGTTGAAACTCAACAATGGGAACCACTGCTGGGGGAGCGCGAAAAGGTAGAACATGCATCGCAGATCCTCACTGGACACAACCAAGTGCTCATCAGGATGAAGCTCCAAACTGTTCATCTGCGACAACAATGGAAGGGTGCCCGTGTCTCCTTCGACCGACATGGAGGCTGAATTGATGGGAATCAGATTCATAATAAGCCGGTGGATCTCATGACCATTGGCTTGCTCCCCTTTTTCCACTCCAAAGAGTCCGTTATGAATAGGCTTTCCGTTGGAATGCAACAGAGCGCTTTCAGGTAGCACACAACAAAGGTTGTAACGGACCAATCCCAAAGCCAATTCAGTCCAATCCTCATCCCGAACCATAACCTTTGATGACTTAATACCCTCCATTCCGAAACCTGGCTTCAAGAATCTTTGTGGGTCCAAGAGAAGTTCACGAACACCCCCATCGGCCAAATCCACCGCTGAAATAGACCCAATATGCCCGAAGGGAAGAGCAGGCTCCACGTTCTCCCAGCTGGTCCACTTTGCTACCTTCACCTCCTCCCCAGAATAACTGATACCACGAATTTGAAAAAACTGTTTCCAATCAATGGGCTCTATACGGAAACTTCGCGTTGTGAAACCTTGAATCCGACCCCGAAGATACTCCAGAATACCGCGTTGTGTATCTGTACCAGGCCCTATACTCATCTGAGCATGCTGACCTCCATGCATATAATTAAGACTAAGCACCAAGAAAACCAACCAAAGATCGTCAGACTGGCATTCTTGTTGTTCGAGGGCTCGAGCTGGGTGCATAGGCAGGGGCAGAGGGAAAATATCCACTTTTCGAGACAAACCCTCAGCCATCAAACCTTCTAGCCTCTCGCAGGATTTAACTGCCCAACAGCCAAAGGTACTGGACGAACTTCTGCCTAGCACTTGCTCCAAAAGATAACGTCCCATCAAATCTGAAGTGAAACCAACCTCAAGGCTCAACGACTGTTGGCCACCACCGCTGCTGCTCTGCGAAACCTTTCCTCCAGAACCGGCCTCCGATATCCCAACCCCTACCCTCCTAGGAAGAGGAGAGCCGGGGCTAGGATGATTCACTGGGGGCGCATCGGCTCGGTACGGAGGGCTCCTGCTCCCTCCTTGCCTTTTCCTCCCTTTCCTCCATCCTTCCCCTTGGTGCTTTTCCCTTTCTCTCCTCCTTTCGGGCTCCACCCCTTGAAACCTTTTCCGAGATCCCGCTGAACCCTGAAATCGGCTCTGAATGTTCTCGTTGCTTCTTGTGCCTCGGCTACGCTGCTGATCCTTTCTTGGTCTAAGGGAACGAGCTCGATGTTCTGTGCCACCTGCCATGACGCTCCGTTCAACACGAGTTCGATGGCCTTCAACCTCTGTACCAGCACATCCGCGCAACCCAAGAGATCCCTCTGAACTAGCCGGTCTAGCCCGTGAACCAAGGTCAATACCTCTCTCTTCTGTCCTGGTGAGATGTTCTTGGCAAAAAGGTGAAGACGGCAATACTTCAGGAAAAGGGGCCTCACATGTTCGGACTTCTCGTCTCCAAGGGCTTCTACCAAGAGTCGGCTTATCTCGTCTAGGGCATGGCGAGTCAAAGCACCTGGAATCTTCTTCGATAGCCGATGAACCCGATGACTCTCCCGAAATGGATGTCCACTGTCCTGGGAGTCTATACTCCGGCTGCTGCTGTCGCTGCGGCTGCTGCTGCTGTTTTCGCTGCTCTCCTCCTTCCTTCTGGACCTGCTTCCTCGCTTTTTGGATTTTTTCTTCTTCTTTCCGCGTCTCAAAAACTTCTTCAAACTGAGGCGTGGGTCCAAGGGGCTGCCCTGGAATGTTTTGTCTCCTGTCTTTCGCTCCTTCTGTGCATCGCCTTCGGCGGGCAATGGGACTCCTCTCTCTTGTCGGGGGGCTTCCGTTCTCTCCCTTGCGATGCGTTCGAGATCCTCGTGTAGGCCCCCGCTCATAGTTGGGGAAGAAGCTCTCTGATCTGCCACGTTGTGGGCCCAAAGGGCTTCTGGATCTAGGGTTACAACCGCGCTTCCATGCAGAAGGTCCTGACTCATGTTGGCCTTTCGGCAACCTACGGGGCAAAGGTGAACAAGTAGCTCTCCGTCCGATCCTCCTCTGATTAAGGTACCACACCATTTGCCCAGCTCCTGATTATCCGAACCCTTCACGACCAAATGCAGGAAAGTCCCAGACTGATCAATGGTGATATGGTCCAGCTGTCCGCAAGCCAGAGTCTGTCTACCCCAATAGTCGCCCAAAATACAATAGTCAGATCCGGGGACCCAAAAACTCAAAGGCACACTCGTAATAGGTAGCGATCTCTCTTTGCAAAGCCGTCCCTGATAATCAAAATCCCGACCCTTACCAAAAAGGCGAAGCCGCTTGCCGCTCGAATACTGCTTTCCCGCTTTCAATATTCCAGGTCTCTTAAGAACTCTACCACCCATAAGGAATCCCTGCAACCAAGAATCAGACAATTTCGGATGTGTCAGAGAGCTCGCTCCCAGACTGCTCCAAAGGATGAAGCCGCGAGCGCACCAATGCGCCACGGGCCCTTTGCCACTCGACGCGTCCTTTCCCCTTGTTCTTCTTCTTGCGCTTCTTTCTCGAGGTGGGAGTTTCAGCAGCGGATTCCGAAAGCGCAGCAGTTTCCAGAGGCTCTTCTCTATGGCTTTGCGAAACTCTAAGGTGACTAGGCGGAGGTCCCCTAGGCTCAGGAGGCTTTGACGAAGTAGCCGGAGCCCTACGAGGCTTGAGGCTTTGTGCAAGGGTCAAAACAGGATTATCAGGAGGTGCCGGCTCAATGTAATCAGAAGGGGGACCCCCGAAGCGGTTCGTCTGCCACTCCCTAAGCCTGCTACTCAGGAGCCTAAGCTCAGAAACTACTCTACCGTGCTGTTCTGAGGGTATAAGGGCGCAGATCCCGCGGAGCCGATCTAGTTCACGACACACAGCACAACTGGAATGTCCTGCGATGACCCTCGGCTCGATGCAAGGATCCACCCCACACCAGAAGCACTTAGTCATCCTAGGCTCCCTTGAACCCGAAGTTGCGACTCAATCAAAAGGTGGGGTTCGTCTTAAATTACGGGGGCGAATGGTCTACTACTACTACTACTACTACTACTACTACTACTACTACTACTACTACTACTGCTACTGCTACTACTACTACTACTACTACTACTACTACTACTACTACTACTACTACTACTACTACTACTACTACTACTACTACTACTACTACTACTGCTTCTGCCGACTGGTACTGATACTTACACTGATACAGCTACTTTAACTGATACTGAAACTGATGATACTAACACTAGTACTGAATAGTAGTAGTACTAACAATTGTATTGAGTTTTGTATGTTCGATTATGGCTATGTAGCATATGAGATATATGCCATAGAATATATATGATAAGTTGGTTTTTCACTGCATTGTAACTCAAACCTTGAAACCCTAAACCCTAAACCCTACACGCCGGCCTATGCCGGCGGAGTCCATGTAGTGGACGGCCTCGTAGAGGCTGCCGTACCGGGAGACCAGGTACCTCGGGTTTAGGGCTTCAGGGGCTTCTAGGGCTTCTAGGGTTTCTAGGGTTTCTAGGGTTTCTAGGGTATAGAGGTTTGCAAAATCAGGTACCTAGAGCTTTGGATTCAGGGTTTAGGGGTTTGGGTTCCAGGGCTTGGTGTCCAGACTCTCTGCTCTTTTTGGCTGTCATGCTTTTTGTTTGGTTGTGTGTATATGCATGTTCTCTCGGGTTGGTGTGTGTTTGGTTCAGGGCTGGGCGGAAGCGCATTGTACCTGAGGGCTTCAGGTTATTTGTGGGCTTGGGATTTGCCTACCCGCAGGATCCAGGGAAATCCAAGGCATTTGATGCCAGTTTCGAGGTTGTTGACATTGGTTGACATTGGAGCCATGAAGCACTCAGAGACTCGAATATCGGGTCCCTGATATGACTTAAGTATTCCTTGATGAAGGGATATTGGAGTCTCTGGGTACCCTAAATCCTAAACCCCGAAGATCCCTTCAGCGAACCCTACAGATTCCTCAAAGGAGTCTCTGGGCTTTTCGGCGGATTCATAGGGTTCTGACCTGCCTGGAGAGATGGCGGATTTTGGGCCGTCATGTTTCGGAGGTTGCATGCCTACATCAATGCAAGCACATATATATATATACACACACACAAACATATCTACATATATGTAAAGTTGATTCAGACTAGCCGTGTGGGCAAACGTATATGGAACACTGTGTCAAGCTGTCACCATAAATTAACATACCTAATGGTGACCTATAATGTCAATCAAGCATGAGAACATTCCCGCGGGCGTACCGCTGCAGCGTGGTGGCACGGCTGTATTGGTCGCCGCCCAGCGCCTGCAGAACGAGCGGTTTAGGGTTTAGGGTTTAGGGCCCTTGCTAGTAGGATTTAGGGTTGAAGGTTTGGGCAAACTACCTGGGACACAAGACATCCAGGAAGGATCCATGAAGCGCAGACCTTCATAGGCTTACCTTCACGGATAGGGGTTTAGGTTGTAGGATTGATCCCAGAGACTCCCATATCACTTAATTTAGGAATAATCCTTAAACCATAGTAGGGATCTTAGAATAGTCCTTGATTAAGGGATATTGGAGTCTCTGGGCATCCTGAACGGATGTCAAGCCTGCGGTTCTTCAGTTCTGTTGGGCAGAAAAACTGGGTTATTGTTAAAGGATCTTATTCAAATGGCCATAATAAAAGAATACATATTTATGTAATTACTATAGATCCCTATTATGGTAATTAACTTAAACCAAATCCCTTAGCAAGAATCTAGATAAAGCCTCAACCCCGATGACTCTACGACCCTGCATGGACCCTAAACCCATAACCCGAACTGCGACCGAAACTGCAGATGTAGCCGTACACTTGCATGTGCTTCCAAAAAGAAAACCACAAACCTTCGTTCATTCCCTTTCCTAATCGAATTCGAACCCCCGCAAGCCGTAATCTAAAAATCTTCAGACCAAATCATACCGTTACGACGCCTAAACCTCTGGCGTTCGTTGGTTGAGACTGTGGCTTGTTTTTTGTTTTCTTTTGATGGGGTTTCGGTGAAGTAATAAGGGTGTTGTTGCAGTCTGTGCTATATGTGGTTGGGGCCCACTTAAGATCGCAGGCTTAAGAGGATGCAGGCGCTTATGTGCGGCGGTTTAAAAATTGCATGTGCAAGGCACCTAGCTTGTACATCCAACCTTAAGTGTAAGGCTTAGGGTCCGGGGTTTTAGGGCTTAATCTACACGGGGATTTCCGAAAACGGGGGGGGGACTCTTTCTTTTTCTTGAATATACCCTAGAATACAGTAACAGTAGTAGGATCCCTGCTCTGGTTTAAGGTATATACCCCCCTAAGGGATCGTGGAGTCTCTGGGGTTGTGGCGAGGGCAAGAGAGTGAAATGATGGGAGGCCAAGAGGGGGGGTTTAAGATTCTTGGGGTAGGGAATCCATAATATGAACCCTACTATGGGAACTCTAATCCCTACTAAACCCCCAAAGGGCTAAAACCCCTTTTGGCCTCCTATGATGAAAGCTCATAGGCGTCCACTCGTCCACTGGGAGCCGCCCGGACCAAAGTCTCACTGCACAGAGTGTCGGAAGCCGAGAAGTCGAACGGTTCCGTGGCGCTCCAAATCGCCCAAAGTCGACTCTCTCTCTCTCTCTCTCTCTCTCTCTCTCTCTCTCTCTCTCTCTCTCTATATATATATATATATATACTATATATATATATATACTGTATATATATATATATATATATATTAATATATGTATATGTACATACATACATACATACACATATTATAAATATTATACATATATATATATATATATATGTACAGATGTATTTCTGTATAGACCGTGGGCCTCAAAGTAGGTACAACTATTATGCTTAGAGCCCTAGGGGTAAGGTGGCCATCATCCATGCCAACCTGTCCATGGGAGGCAGGTGCATAGATCAAGGGGCCCCGGAGCCTTAAACCCGAAACCCCAAACTCTAAACAACAGGGTTCTCGTCTTTTGGAGCGGCTCGGAAATCCCGGGCCCAAAACACAAAAACTCCGGAACCTGAATCCACAAGTCATATAGGGGCCTCGTTAAACAGAATAAGGTTTTGGGCCCCCTATACTATGTTTATAGTAAGGAACCCCCACAACGGTATTGGTGATTGTTTAAGCCCCTGTCGTAGCCTTGCTGCGTGGCATGCGCATGTCGGCTGGCAGACCTGTTCAATCGACGAGGCAAGAAACCTAAACTGCTTTAGGTGTCAGCCGGATCGGATCCTGAGTGCACAGCTCAGATTCGAGATGCTCTTCGCAGTGAAATACAACAAAATCTGCACATGTTCTTGAGACCTGGCATTGGGCATAAGGCACAGTGAAGGCAACATACATGTAAAGTTTAAAGAGAGCTCGGTAAACTCATGAACCCGTCACATACGATAGAGACTCAACCCTGGAAACTGTAGAACTTACCTTTGGTTAGTAGGGAATGGAAGAACGGTAGTAATAGTAGTTATAATTGTACCCCATTCCTCCATCCCCTACTAACCAAAGGTAAGAGAAGTCAGCAGGCAAGAGGCTGAATGCAGAACTTCCGATCCCTGGAATTCTTGAGCCCAGCACCTGCAAACCCGAACATTCCTGAAGCCCTCGGAGCCTCGTCGACTAACCAGAGACTCCGACATCCCGAAAATTAAGTATTAAGGGATAAACCTGAAACTATGGTAGGATTCCTAATATGATGTAAGGAATATTCCTTCACTAAGGGATATTCGAGTCTCTGGGTAGGGAACATACCGCATACTGACTGATCCAATTAGTCAGCCCTGAAATCTTCAAACTGCGAACCTTAAACCCTTTCTGAAAATGGAAAGACCATTGATCAAAGCCTGAACCCTCAAAGTCCGAAAGTAGGTTTGGGGTCCAGGGTGAACCCTGAAAGCCGTAAATCCCTAAACCTCTCAGCCGTGGACCATGTTTCCGAAGGAAGGCAGCCAGCCGCTCCTGCTGCACGCCACTCTGGGCCTTCTCCTGCTGTCAAGGTGCGATTTAGGGTTGATGGTTTCACAGGTTTTAACTGTGTCGTTTT